ACAAGTCAATCCATCACTGAATCTCAACCACAGGTGTGCACTGATACTATACAAAACCTTTAATCAGAACCATCACTTCAATTATCACTGAATCGATAAAGAATTCCAAGTTTGAAGCATTTGACAATGGCCAAAAAAAAATTCTGGATTGTCAACAAAATATTAAACACACACATCATGGAAGGAAATACATTCTCTCCAAAAACTCTTGTTGATATGATATGGACGGATTTCAATAGTGAGAAGAACGCCTGCATTACGTTAAATTCATTAGATGAATAAATAGAAGAACAAACAATTCAACTTAGGACTCGGAAAAATGATCGAATTGCATCTAAATTAAATATTAAATTTTCGAATGAATTTAAACATCCAATCTGAATCTATTATTCCAGCTTTGGAAGTTACAAACGAATTCAAATAACTAATATCAAGTCTACAAAATAGTAAAAATTGGGAGTAACCATGTCGGGTATCAAAATAAATGATAAGAACAAATAATGCTCCTGAGAAGATTGGAACAAACTAAGATATGGGCCTAAAGAACCCCCTTCGGAAATAGATATTTGGTGCAGAAAGGCTCCAACTGTACAAGCCTCCAACAGCAGCAGCAAGAGTTAGAGAAGATGCTGTAAAAAAGGAACAGTTAGTTAAGAGATTTTCTCAGATTCGGCCTCAAAGCTTTACCAAATTAGTTGTGGATCTCTGGAGTTATTCGCTGGATTAGATGGAAATGCCTGCGGAAGTTCATCAAGGCAGAATCAGCAAATGAGAACACGAGGCAATCAACACTAAATATACTCGGGAGTTCAAGAGAGTGAAGTAAAAAAGAGAGATAGATTTGATGAGAGAGCACCCTAGACGAGTTGATTTTCTCGAATTGCTCTAAAATAACATGACACAAGTGTGCCTCAGGGACATGGCATGGAATGCCTCCGACAATTCGTACATGCTGGAGACATTGTCTATGCAAACTTCCTGCACGATGAAGCATGCTAAATGCATCTTAGGACTTCAGGCTAAATTTTATTACAACTAGTGAAGCTTTTGAGAATGGGAAAAAGAAAAGACAATATAGTTTCTACCCACTTGTGCAATGGCATATTCACATAGCCGTTTAAGATCCTCAAGAAGATACTCATCCGCAGCTTGTAGAAGATCTTACGCGATATCATTAGTGATCTCAACCGATCCTATGTATATGAATCTGCAAATGAACAGCCAAATAATGTCAGACATCAGAACCTTCAGTATCACGACCAGAAGAAGGAACTACACTTACCGCATCATCAATTCAAAGACCTCCCATCTTATGTTAGGAATCTCAACGTCTCTTGCGTCCTTCTCCTATAACAAAGTTGAAAGAGCAAGATATTTTCAATCAGATCTTACCAGTCTAGAAAATAGTAAATTACCTAAAACTTCCAGAAAGAAAACTTTTCAAAAAACTTAGTTCATACCATGATACTATTATAAGTTTTGAAAAGCTTATGAATGTTTCATTCATGTCGTATTGGGCCAGTATGATACTATGATATCATCATGACATCCATGAGATGCCTTTTTCACATATTTTTTGTTCATCAGCAAGCATGAAACCCATCATATAACTTGCCTAACATGCCTAACCATGCTGGCACATTTCCAGCACATGATATTCTGACAAAAAGTTCAATTCTTGATAACACTGACAGAAGGGCATGTTATGAGTTGCGGTATGCATCAAACTCCAAAATATTTGCACCCGGATGACATGAAGGGATCAACTTTTTGACTTCTATTGTAAATCAGCATTTCTGATATGCATCAAGCAAGTACTAAGTCTATCTTAGTGATCAAAGATATGATTCTCACCTTCTGCATGATTATTTATGTACAGAGAGGACCATGGGGGATTTACATTAACATTTACAAAGCAACAAACTTTTGAGGTGCCATCTTAGTATTTAATTTATCTACTTGTAAAACATGTTCACCGTTTTGTTGTATTCAGTAACCAAAGCACAACAAAACAGACAGATATGCCTCTTTGTATCGCATATAAATGCTTTATTTACTATACGTGCGACGGCTTCTTTATATCAGACACTAGCCATTTTTTGACAACATTATTTCTATGACTGATCATGATTAGGGCCTAATTCTGAAGAAAAACAAGCATGGTTGACACATGAGTTCCCTTACCCCGTAGCCACCATCAAACATTGCACGAAATGCATCCGAAGAAGTAAGCAGAGCAATTCTATGTGCATAAAAGCACTTGCCTGGAAAAGAATAGATAATGAACATTTAGATATTTAGCACGAAACTAATAAGTTCCTTTTAAATGAAGAATGTAGTATACATAAGTTACTACATTTTTAAATGTGCTATGCAATTGTTTAAAGGAAAAAACTACATATGGTAAGAATAGTCCACAACCTTCAACTAGAAAGGTAATATATGATAGCGTGGAGCTATTCACATACTGCTCGCCTAGGTACACCTACATGAACAACTTGATTAGTACTATTATAGGTATATAGCTCTGTTCTAGCATAGTAGACAAACTCATCGAGCCTTTGCATTTGTCATGTATTTCTCTATGATAGCATGTACAAGTTTTGTTACTTAGCAAAACATATTTGTACACAATGGATGAATATGAAGTCCCAACATCAAACACTCAGGATATTGATTATTCAGATATCAATTATGACATGTGATTCTTTTTTTTAACGTCCTGAGAAATAATATGCTAATGTATCCATGTTCATTTCAACTAAAATAGGATTGCTGATTTCAAACACAAGCAATCCATTTATGAGGTCAAACCTATAAAATTAATGCCACTTCTTCAATAATAAGAATACCGAGCGAAAACGAATTAACTGCAGGATTAAAGTGTACCAAACAGTATTAAAGTGTACCAAACAGTATTAATCCTGAGAAACCTATTTCACTTGCAGGATTAAAGTGTACCAAACAGTATCAGAGAGAAAACGAATTAACTGCAGATTAGATTCTAAAGTTCATTTGCAGTAAAAAGAAAACGAAAGGGGAGTCCAGTTTGGCCTTGACATATGTAATTAATCATGCATGCCATAGGTAATTAACTGCAGGCTTTTTTAAAATCAAAAGATCATTTTTTTTTAATATCGATGATTGGATATTTCGAGTGCAAAATTAGAGGTGTACCAAACAGCATCAGAGAGAAAAGAACCATTGGTTCCAGAAGGCTAGTGCTTACCCCCGACATGGCCCCCTTCGGAAATAGATGTTTAGTACAGAAAGGCTCCAACTGTACAAGCCTCCAGCAACAGCAGCATGAGTTAGAGAAGATGCTGTCAAAAAGGAATAGTTAGGTAAGGGATTTTCTCAGATTCGGCCTCAAAGCTTTACCAAAGTAGTTGCGGATCTCTGGAGTTATTCTCTGGATTAGATGGGAATGCCTGCGGAAGTTCATCAAGGTAGAATCAGCAAATGAGAATGCGAGGCAATCAACACTAAATACACTCAGGAGTTCAAGAGAGTGAAGTAAAAAAGAGAGATTTTATGAGAGAGCACCCTGGACGAGTGTTGATTTTCTCGAATTGCTCTAAAATAAAGATGACACAATTGTGCCTCAAGGACATGGCATGGAATGCCTCCGACAATTCGTACATGCTGGAGACATTGTCTACGCAAACTTCCTGCACAATGAAGCATACTCAACGCATCTAAGGACCACAGGCTAAATTTCATTACAACAACTAGTGAAGCTTCTGAGAATGGGAAAAAAAAAAGACAATGTAATTTCTACCCACTTGTGCAATGGCATATTCACATAGGCATTTAAGACCCTCAAGAAGATACTGATCTGCAGCTTGTAGAAGATCTTGCGCGATATCAGTAGTGATCTCAACCGATCCTGTGTATATGAATCTGCAAATGAACAACCAAATATTGTCAGACATCAGAACCTTCAGTATCATGACCAGAAGAAGGAACTACACTTACCTCATCATCAATTCAAAGACCTCCCATCTTATGTTAGGAATCTCAATGTCTCTTGCATCCTTCTCCTATAACAAAGTTGAAAGAGCAAGATATTTTCAATCAGATCTTACCAGACAAGAAAATAGTAAATTACCAAGCACTTCCAGAAAGAAAACTTTTCAAAAAACTTAGTTCATACCATGATACTATTATAAGTTTCGAAAAGCTTATGAATGTTTCATTCATGTCATATTGGGCCAGTATGATACTATGATATCAGCATGGCATCCGTGAGATGCCTTTTTCACATAATTTTTGTTCATCAGCAAGCATGAAACCCATCATATATCTTGCCTAACATGCCTTATCATGATGGCACATTTCCAGCAAATGATATTCTGACAAAAAGTTAGATTCTTGATAACACTGACAGAAGGGCATGTTATGAGTTTCGGGATGCATCAAACTACATAATATTTGCACCCTGGTGACATGAAGGGATCAGCTTTTATCAGCTTTTTTACTTCTCTTACAAATCAGCATTTCTAATATGCATCAAGTACTAAGACCATCTTAGTGATCAAAGATATGATTCTCACCTTCTACATGATTATTTATGTACAGATAGGGCCATAGGGGATTTACATTAGCATTTACAAAGCAACAAACTTTTGAGGTGGCAACTTAGTATTTAATTTATCTAATTGAAAAACCTGTTCACCATTTTGTTGTATTCAGTAACCAAAGCACATCAAAACAGAAAGATATGCATCTTTGCATGGCATATAAATGCTTTATTTATGACACGTGCTATAGCATCTTTATATCAAATAATAGCCGTTTTTTGACAACATTATTTCCATACATCTGATCATGGCAACAGCATAATTCTGAAGAAAAACAAGGATGGTTGACACATGAGTTCCCTTACCCGGTAGCCACCATCAAACATTGCACGAAATGCATCCGAAGAAGCAAGCAGAGCAATTCTGTGTGCATAAAAGCACTTGCCTGGAAAAGAACAGATAATGAACATTTAGATATTTAGCACATAACTAATAGCTTCCTTTTAAATGAGGAATGTAGCATACATAAGTTACTACATATGGTAAGAATAGTCCACAACCTTCAACTAGAAAGGTAACATCTGATAGCGTGGAGCTATTCACATACTGCTCGCCCAGGTACACCTACATGAACAACTTGATTAGTACTATTACAGGTATATAGCTCTGTTATAGCACACTAGACAGACTCGTCGGGCCTTTGCATTTGTCATGTATTTCTATATGATAGCATGTACAAGTTTTGTTACGTAGCAAAACATATTTGTACACAATGGATGCACATGAAGTCCCAACATCAAACATTCAGGATATTGATTATTTAGATATCAATTATGACATGTGATTCTTTTTTTTTTCGTCTTGAGCAGTAATCTACTAATGTATCCATGTTCGTTTCAACTAAAATAGGATTGCTGATTTCAAACACAAGCAATCCACTTAAGAGGTCAAAACTGCAAAATTAATGCCTCCTCTTCACTAATAAGAATACCCAGTAGTTCATTCATTGTCGTAAGGCATATACTTTTGCCTCAATTTCTCCAATGATTTATAACAATTAGATCCCAAATTCGCATCTCTTTTCTAGCATATGCTTATTGCAAGATAAGTGATATTATAGATAAGCAAACAATTTTCATTCTCTATTTAGATAAAAGGTTTATACTGATCAAGTAATATTTATGTTTGATCAGCCTCAAGAGTCAAGACAGACAACTCAAAAAAACTTTGAGTTAGAAGAAGACTAGCCAAAGCAATTACATAAGCACTTTCAAATTCCAAGTAACTAGCTCCAAGAATTGAAAATCTGACCCTTTTCTATATGTTTTTGTATTTCTGTGAATATGGGACATGTTTTGCTGCTAAAACTGCTTAGAAACAAAATTAACGAATGCCTATTTTAGTAAACCTGAGGTGAGGGGGATGGAGAAGCTGCATCAACAGAACAGAGAGTCAGAGATTTTTTAGCCAACTTGTAAAGAGCAACTGATGCATCTTGCTGTTGTTTTAGATTAGTCAATACCAGTAGTTCGAGAAGAAGATCAAGTCCTACATTGAGAATATATTGCTTAATTTCCTTAGTTATAAAAAGGAAGAAAAGCAGAAGGATGTCGTGGTTGCTGGACAGATATAGTACCATTATCATCAATGAAAATAGTTCTTTGATCCTCGAGTGAACATAAATGAGCAAGAGCCAAAGCTATACGTCTTTGGACAGCCTTCTCTCCAACTCGCATCAGATATAATAAATGATTTAGTACCTACAAAGACAAAAGACAAGAAACACCATGTCTACATCCATTAAACAGATCCACCAATTAAAAGTAGATCCTTATCGTTCTGAATATATACCGTAATAAGCCAAGAAATACAGCAAACAGAACTTTCTCGCCCATTAATCTTCTCCTCTAATCTCTTTATTGTCTTTGCTACACAGTCCTTAGTTGCCTGTAATTGAAGTAATATTTTTCAATAAAACTTAGTTCAAAATATAAAAAAAAAATCAAAACAAGATCAATATACACATTAGGAAGCATGGATCTGGCAACATCAAAGTGCTCAACATACCTGGATAATGAATTCACCAACTTGTAGCTTCTGAACACCTCCTACCTTGATAAAATCAGAAACATTATCCTAACAACAAAGACAAGAATAAGAAGCTTGTGTCCAACCAATAGTTCTCAATTTCACATTGCAGCATTATGCAAAGAAACAGAAAATGAAATCACAACAAAGGAATATTTTGATGTAGTTTCACCTCATTCTCTGCAATACCATAAAGAGCAAATGCAGCATTATGTTGCAAACATCCATTTTTTGAGTCAAGAAGTTTAAGAAGAGGCACCAAACCACCATTGTAGACAATACCAGTTTGGTTGTGTGAGTCCTAGAGGGAAATTAAAAGGACTTTGAGATAGAGCAAAAACGAGTCGTTGTTCATCAAGAAAATGAAGCAAATCCAACCATATATAAGGAGAAAGAATTCAATGTGCTGTAGTGTGGAAGATGGATATTGATATTAACAAGAACATTTTTTTTCAAAAGCATTTCTAAGAAGCATGAGGCATATTACAAAAAAGTGGTATAATATCAAAAAGTATCGAGAAAAAAATTATAAATCATTATCACTTCTAAAACTGAATTTTCCCCTTCTTTGGAAGTATATAATGGAAGGGTCCAAGCATACATGATAATCAAGCTAAGGGGAAAATGAGAAAAGAGCATACAGTGTGTTATTTACTCATCCGGTGTCAGAATAGCCTAGTAAAAGACAGTTGAAATTTTAGATATCATGGCACAAGTATGCTACAATTCAAGCAAGGAAGTGAGCTATGAGAGCCCAGTCCGAAAAAGCAAAAGCCCGGGACATGTATACATATCATTGGAATAAAAAACACAGAAGGGAAAGAACTAAAATGAGAACTGCTTTGCTTGTTAAGAATAGTGTTCCAACAATCACCGAACTGAAATTTTAAATTAATAAAATAAAGTAG